GTCCGAGTGCGTGCGACGGCGCCGACTTGGGCTTCGGGGAAGGCAATTAACTCCGGCCGATAACCCCCCTTTCGAACGCGTACGCACACGCACACACGTACACACGCGCACACACTCGGATCCTTGTGCGAGCTGGGGCGAGGAGAGGGGCAGGCACGCACTCGACACGGTTCGCGGGAGTGCGAGGTCCTAGTTAGGGGCCGGGCGAATCGTAAGTTTCGTTTCTTATGACTGCGTGGACTAATTGCTCGGCGGGAAAACATTTGTTTCCGTACGCGGGCGGGGTGGAGGTGGAGGGGGTGGGGCAAGGATGGGAAGGATGGGAACATTTGGTAGAGGGTGGGGATGCGGGTGGGAAGTGATGGCGAGCGTTGGGAGGAAAGGGGAGCGGGGGGAGCGATTTGGGAGGTCTCTCGGGGGAAGCGATTGTTGGGAGGGATGTGGAAGGGTGGGATGGGTGGGAGAGGGTTATAAAGGAGGGGCCGGGTGGGAAGAGATGAAGAACGTGTGGTGGGAGGAAAGGGGGAGCGGTTTTGGGGAAGATGGGGAGCGTTTGGGAGGGGAGGGGATGTGGAGAGGGAGGTGCGGGGAGGGATCGGTGGGAGAGTGGGATGGGAGAGTGGGAAAAGTGGAATGAGGAACGTGCGGGAGAAAAAGATGGGGGGAGATGGGGAGAGATGGGGAGCGGTGTGTTGGAGAGGGTGGGAAGGCATGGAAAGGATGAAGCCGTTAGAGAGGTGGGGAGCATTCTTGGAGGGTTGGAGCGTAGGTTCTGGGAGGGTGGATGGAGCAGTGAGGCAAGGTGGGGGAGGGAGAAGGGTGACGAGGAGAGGAGGGAGCGGTGGAGCTTTGGAGGATGGGGGGGGTAGTGGGAAGGGGTGGGGCTTCTTTAGGTGATAGGAAGGGATGGGGGAAGGATACGGTTGAAGGATGGATAGAGAGAGGAAGAGAAAGAAAAGGATGAAGAGGGGACGAGAAGAGAAAAGAGAAAGAGAAGGAAGGAGATGAAAGAAGAGGAATAAGCAGGATGATGAAAAGGGGTAGGAAGAAGGGTGGGGAGGAGGCGGGAGGGGGGGGAGAGGAGAGGAAAGGAAAGAAAGTATAAAAGGAGGAGGGAACTGGAGGAGAAAGGGAAGAGGGGGGAGGAAGGAAATGATAAAAGGAGAGAAAGGGATTGTGGAGGAAAAGAACAGAAGGAAGAGGAAGGAAGAAGAAAGAGGAAGATAGTAATGAAAAGGAGAACAGAAGGAAGGACAGGAAGGAGAGAAGAGAGAGCCAAATATGGACATAAAAGGAGCGGAATAAAAAAGAGACGAGAGGAGAAAGGAATTATCCATGTTTCTCCCTTCTTCCTCTTTCCCCTAGTCTAACCCCCCCCCCCCCCCCACGCCCCAACACCCCACCTACATATCAATCTATACCTACCTGGCCCGTTACGTTCACGTGTACATTCATACGTTACATGTATACGTACAGTCGTGGTATCGGTTACTCTGTGTCTATAAAATCTATCTATCTATCATTATCTTTACAATAATCTAATCAAAATTAGGTTACTCTAAGTGTCTATAAATGCTATCTATCCAAAAATCTATCTATCTTATCACATCATTATATCTAATCAATCAAATTAAACTCTTACAGTGTCTATAAAATCTATCTATCCATTCATATCTTTACAATAATCTAATCAAAATTAGGTTACTCAAGTGTCTATAAAATCTATCTATCCATCATTATCTTTACAATGATAATCTAATCAAAATTAGGTTAAATCTAACATTGTCATATAAACATATCTACTCCATCATCATCTTTACAATTTAATCTAATCAAAATTTTAAACAACTTTGAACTAATAAATCATCCTATCCATCATTATCTTTTACAAAATCTAATAATAATTCTAAACCTCTAAGTAACTATAATATCTGTCTATCATTATCTTTACAATAATCTAATAAAAAATTTAAACAACTTTCTGACTATAAAATCTATCTATCTATCATCCTTACAATAATCTAATCAAAATTTTAAACAACTTTGTGACTATAAAATCTATCTGTCAATCATTATCCTTACGATAATCTAATCAAAATTATCTAATTAAAATTCTAAACAAGATAGTTGTTTATGGCTATGACAAACTATGACAGGTGTATTTACAATGATCTTGTCATATAGATTAGTAAAGAAATATATGCAGTTGATATAAACCTATATACCTTGCTGTGACCCCCCCCCCCCTCCACCCCACCCCCTTCTCCCCCTGGCGACACTATTGTAACTGTAACTACTGTTAGTTTTTTTTTTTTTTTTTTTTTTTTTACTCTTAATGTAATTAAGTAATAAATAATTTAAATGAATAAAGAAAATAGATAATAAAAAATAAATAAAGAGAAAATTAGTGTTTAAAAAACTAGATATCTGTTTATTGATTGTTTACTGTTTTTTTTTCTTTTCTTAATGAATAAAGAAAATAGATAATAAAAAAAATAAA